TGTCTCTCTGTGTGTCTCCCTCTGTGTCTCTCTGTGTGTCTCTCTCTCTCTCTGTGTCTCTCTCTCTCTCTCTCTGTGTGTCTCCCTCTGTGTCTCTCTGTCTCTCTCTGTGTCTCCCTCTGTGTCTCTCTGTGTGTCTCTCTGTGTGTCTCCCTCTGTGTCTCTCTCTGTGTGTCTCCCTCTGTGTCTCTCTCTGTGTGGTCTCTCTGTGTGTGTCTCTCCTCTGTGTCTCTCTGTGTGTCTCTCTCTCTCTCTGTGTCTCTCTCTCTCTCTGTGTGTCTCCCTCTGTGTCTCTCTGTCTCTCTCTGTGTCTCCCTCTGTGTCTCTCTGTGTGTCTCTCTGTGTGTCTCCCTCTGTGTCTCTCTCTGTGTGTCTCCCTCTGTGTCTCTCTCTGTGTGTCTCTCTCTGTGTGTCTCTCTCAGTCTCTCTGTGTTTGTGTGTCTCTCTCAGTCTCTCTGTGTCTCTCTGTGTCTCCCTCTGTGTCTCCCTCTGTGTCTCCCTCTGTGTCTCTTTGTGTGTCTCTCTGTGTCTCTCTGTGTGTCTCCCTCTGTGTCTCCCTCTGTGTCTCTCTGTGTGTCTCCCTCTGTGTCTCTCTGTGTGTCTCTCTGTGTGTCTCCCTCTGTGTCTCCCTCTGTGTCTCTCTCTGTGTGTCTCTCTGTGTGTCTCCCTCTGTGTCTCTCTGTGTCTCTCTGTGTGTCTCTCTGTGTGTCTCCCTCTGTGTCTCTCTCTGTGTGTCTCCCTCTGTGTCTCTCTCTGTGTGTCTCTCTCAGTCTCTCAGTCTCTCTGTGTTTGTGTGTCTCTCTGTGTCTCTCTGTGTCTCCCTCTGTGTCTCCCTCTGTGTCTCCCTCTGTGTCTCTTTGTGTGTCTCTCTGTGTCTCTCTGTGTGTCTCCCTCTGTGTCTCCCTCTGTGTCTCTCTGTGTGTCTCCCTCTGTGTCTCTCTGTGTGTCTCTCTGTGTGTCTCCCTCTGTCTCTCTCTGTGTGTCTCTCTCTCTCTCTGTGTCTCTCTCTCTCTCTGTGTGTCTCCCTCTGTGTCTCTCTGTCTCTCTCTGTGTCTCCCTCTGTGTCTCTCTGTGTGTCTCTCTGTGTGTCTCCCTCTGTGTCTCTCTCTGTGTGTCTCCCTCTGTGTCTCTCTCTGTGTGTCTCTCTCTGTGTGTCTCTCTCAGTCTCTCTGTGTTTGTGTGTCTCTCTGTGTCTCTCTGTGTCTCCCTCTGTGTCTCCCTCTGTGTCTCCCTCTGTGTCTCTTTGTGTGTCTCTCTGTGTCTCTCTGTGTGTCTCCCTCTGTGTCTCCCTCTGTGTCTCTCTGTGTGTCTCCCTCTGTGTCTCTCTGTGTGTCTCTCTGTGTGTCTCCCTCTGTGTCTCCCTCTGTGTCTCTCTGTGTGTCTCTCTGTGTGTCTCCCTCTGTGTCTCTCTGTGTCTCTCTGTGTCTCTCTGTGTGTCTCCCTCTGTGTCTCCCTCTGTGTCTCTCTGTGTGTCTCCCTCTGTGTCTCTCTGTGTGTCTCTCTGTGTGTCTCCCTCTGTGTCTCCCTCTGTGTCTCTCTGTGTGTCTCTCTGTGTGTCTCCCTCTGTGTCTCTCTGTGTGTCTCCCTCTGTGTCTCTCTGTCTCTCTCTCTGTCTCTCTCTGTGTGTCTCCCTCTGTGTCTCTCTGTGTGTCTCCCTCTGTGTCTCTCTGTGTGTCTCCCTCTGTGTCTCTCTGTGTGTCTCTCTGTGTGTCTCCCTCTGTGTCTCTCTGTGTGTCTCTCTGTGTGTCTCTCTGTGTGTCTCCCTCTGTGTCTCTCTGTGTGTCTCTCTGTGTGTCTCCCTCTGTGTCTCTCTGTGTGTCTCCCTCTGTGTCTCTCTGTGTGTCTCCCTCTGTGTCTCTCTGTGTGTCTCCCTCTGTGTCTCTCTGTGTGTCTCCCTCTGTGTCTCTCTGTGTGTCTCTCTGTGTGTCTCCCTCTGTGTCTCCCTCTGTGTCTCTCTGTGTGTCTCTCTGTGTGTCTCCCTCTGTGTCTCTCTGTGTGTCTCTCTGTGTGTCTCCCTCTGTGTCTCTCTGTGTGTCTCCCTCTGTGTCTCTCTGTGTGTCTCCCTCTGTGTCTCTCTGTGTGTCTCCCTCTGTGTCTCTCTGTGTGTCTCTCTGTGTGTCTCCCTCTGTGTCTCTCTGTGTGTCTCCCTCTGTGTCTCTCTGTGTGTCTCCCTCTGTGTCTCTCTGTGTGTCTCTCTGTGTGTCTCCCTCTGTGTCTCCCTCTGTGTCTCTCTGTGTGTCTCTCTGTGTGTCTCCCTCTGTGTCTCTCTGTGTGTCTCCCTCTGTGTCTCTCTGTGTGTCTCCCTCTGTGTCTCTCTGTCTCTCTCTCTGTCTCTCTCTGTGTGTCTCCCTCTGTGTCTCTCTGTGTGTCTCCCTCTGTGTCTCTCTGTGTGTCTCCCTCTGTGTCTCTCTGTGTGTCTCTCTGTGTGTCTCCCTCTGTGTCTCCCTCTGTGTCTCTCTGTGTGTCTCTCTGTGTGTCTCTCTGTGTGTCTCCCTCTGTCTCTCTCTGTGTGTCTCTCTCTCTCTCTGTGTCTCTCTCTCTCTCTGTGTGTCTCCCTCTGTGTCTCTCTGTCTCTCTCTGTGTCTCCCTCTGTGTCTCTCTGTGTGTCTCTCTGTGTGTCTCCCTCTGTGTCTCTCTCTGTGTGTCTCCCTCTGTGTCTCTCTCTGTGTGTCTCTCTCTGTGTGTCTCCCTCTGTGTCTCTCTCTGTGTGTCTCTCTCTGTGTGTCTCCCTCTGTGTCTCTCTCTGTGTCTCTCTGTGTCTCCCTCTGTGTCTCTCTGTGTGTCTCCCTCTGTGTCTGTATGTCTCCCTCTGTGTCTCTCTCTCTGTCTCTCTCTCTGTGTCTCTCTGTGTGTCTCTCTCTGTGTCTCTCTCTGTCTCTCTCTCTGTGTCTCTCTGTGTGTGTGTGTCTCTGTCTCTCTCTCTGTGTCTGTGTACGTCTCACTCTCTCTCTGTGTCTCTCTGTGTGTCTCTCTCTGTGTCTCTCTCTGTCTCTCTCTGTGTCTCTCTGTGTGTGTGTCTCTGTCTCTCTCTCTGTCTCTCTCTCTGTGTCTCTCTGTGTCTGTGTACGTCTCACTCTCTCTCTGTGTGTGTGTTTCCTCCAGGTGCTGCTGCAGTGACCCTACAGAAGGCCTCAGTGCGTGTGGTGAACCAGACGGTGTGTGAGTCCCTGATGGAGGGGTCTGCGGTCACAGAGAGGATGCTGTGTGCGGGGGTCCTCCGGGGGGGCATCGATGCATGTCAGGTGAGCTCCTCATCCAGCGTTTAGCACTCTCAGCAAGGAGGTCCTGGGTTCGAATCCCGGTTGGAACGGGGCTTTTCTGAGATACATACAGGTCCACTTTATTAATCCAATTCAATCCTCTGCATTTGACCCATCCTGATGCCGCTAAGGCTTACGTCAGGAGCAGTGGTCGCCGTAGTAACAGCGCCCGGGAACCCATCTCCAGATGTTGATGCTCGGCTTGGTCAGGACCAGAGCTGGAAGATTTAAGCATGTTTTTAGTGGTAGGGGAAACCGGAGTACCTGGAGGAAACCCACGCAGGCATGGGGAGAACATGCAAACTCCACTCAGAAAGGCCCTGTAGATAGATAGCCTAACCCTAACCCAAACGATAGATAATTTATTGATCCCAAAGGAAGTTGTGCATTAGTCTCTTGCTCACATTCGTACAAACATAGGACAGGAGGTAAAAGATAAAAACATAATAAAAAATGACAATAAATACATAAAAACAGAGAAGTTAAGGCACTGCAAGACAATTCTCAACCTTTTTAATTTTATTTTAACTGTTTTACCACGTTACTTTCATCTGTGCAGCGCTTTGGAATCATGTTTTATAAGATGTGCCATATAGATAGAATGGATTATAAAGCCTTGTTGTGCTGTGTCCTCAGGGAGACTCCGGGGGCCCTCTGTCGGTGCAGGGCCTGGGGGGGAGGAGCTTCCTGGCAGGCGTGGTCAGCTGGGGCGACGGCTGCGCCCAGAGGAACAAACCCGGAATCTACACCAGAGTCACAGAGTTCAGGGACTGGATCAAGACCAACACCGGGATCTGACCCTGAACCCGGACTAATCCAGACACAAAGGACTCATCAAGAAAGTGGGGATTCTCTTGGACTAATATGAACAAAACGAACTTGCATTTGTGACGAATTCAACAAAGTTTTATTTTTAAACATGATATTTTTGTATAAAACCATGGATCGAACCTCAGGGACTCTCTACTTCTTTTTCAGGCGAAGGAACCCCATTTGTTTTGATTGTATTTGTAAATCTCAGCTTTTACAAACATGTACTGTATTTTTCCGGACTATAAGCTGCACCTAACTATAAGCCGCAGGTGACATTTATTTTAAAAAGATAGAATTTTGTCATTGTACAAGCCGCACTGGATTATAAGCCTCACCTGTCCACATTGTTTTAATGAAACATGTTTTTACTGTGAGTGAGCAACATTTACTGGTCTATCTTAGCCTTAGCCATCCGTAAACTCGGGTCAATTCTCATTTCCCTGCGTTTACCGTCTGGGTCTGATCCAAGCCCCGGCGATCCAAGATGGCGCCCTATTCAAATGAATGGTTGTGCTCAGTGGCGCTTTGTGACAGCATGGGGGCTGAAAGATTAGCGGAAGTTGCCTGAAACTCTCAAAGATCTTTGGGAAACTTGCCTGTATTTGGGCCTCGTCTGGTCCTCCCGGTTCTGTGCAGTGGATGAACTCCCATGATGCTTTGTGCCAAATACGCGTGTGTGGGTCTCACACCAGGTCTCACGCACGTGCACAGAGGGGCTCGGCTCTGACCAATCAGAGCAGTTCATCAGAGCGGGAGTTAGAGCGAGAGCCAGACGGGCAGAGTTTGTGGCAGTAAAGTGTAGATTTAAAGAAAACCGAAGGATTTAAGAAGAAAAAAAGTTCAGGATGACAAGGGACACTAAAATCCCCACAAAATCTGACCTTTATGAAAGCTGTAGGTTCTCTGTCAGGTTCTCTGTCAGCTGAGGATGAGCTGTTTTAATGTGCATTGAGTTCTATGGGGAACATTTCTGGGTAGCCCACGTGAATTTAGTCTGGTTCAGTCTGCAGTACCGCGAGAATCCCCCGAGCACATGAGTTATTCAGCTATAAGTAAGTAAGTAAGTAATCTTTATTTATATACCGCCTTTCACAGACCAGAGTCACAAAGCGGTTTACAAATGTTATTCTTGGTTCATTTGTCTTCTCATTCCACACAGAGATGGGAGCGGGGTCGCCGAACAGGAGGCACATGCCAGACCTATTGTGCATATTTTTAGTGGTAGGGGAAACCGGAGTACCCAGAGGAAGCCTAGCTACAAGCTAGTAATACCCTATCCAGTTAATATAGTAGATCCATGGTCTGATCCTAGTGGCTGCAGTTTCCTCGGTTGAATCCCCTCCGACCAATCAGAGAGCGGGGGAGGCGGGTGTTGTAGGTCGGTGTCGGTGACGTCAAGAGTTTGTGCTGAATTTGCTGGTTGTAGTTTGTCGGAGAATGCGATAGTAAAATAATCTGTTCAATCCAAATATCAAGAAACTGAAGCCGGAGCAAGAGGAATGTTTAGTAAATGTTATTGAAGCAAAGATGTTGTGGCTCTACTCCCCACGGGCTCCGTTAGCGGCAAAGGAGATGGCTAAAGCTAGGCTACATGCTAAAGCTAGGCTAAATGCCTCACTCACTCAGGCTCATTACATACGTCACAGTAAACTCAGATCCAATGGTTTCAATCTGCAAAAGGAGTTAGCCCCTCCCACCTGTTAAAGAACTCAATGGAGCAAATCCAGACCTTAGTCCAGAATGAAATGAGTACAATGGTGCGGTAAGACCAGGCTACCTCTGGTCTACTTTCACTTTCATGTCGGTGCAAAAAAACAAAAAACTATGTATTATTTGAGATATTCACACAAAGATATTATTTAATTGGGCCTCTGTGAAACTGTCAATTATTTTGGTAACACAGGAAAAAAATACATATAAGCCGCACCTGTCTATAAGCCTCACCTGACTATAAGCCTCACCCGACTATTAGCCTCATCCGTCTATAAGCCGCGCCCGACTATAAGCCTCACCTGACTATTAGCCTCACCTGACTATTAGCCTCACCTGATTATAAGCCTCACCTGAAGCCTCACCAACTATAAGCCTCACCTGACTATTAGCCTCACCCGACTATAAGCCTCACCCGACTATTAGCCTCACCTGACTATAAGCCTCACCCGACTATAAGCCTGCCAACTATAAGCCTCACCCGACTATTAGCCTCATCCGACTATAAGCCGCGCCCGACTATAAGCCTCACCTGACTATTAGCCTCACCTGACTATAAGCCTCACCTGACTATAAGCCTCACCAACTATAAGCCTCACCCGACTATTAGCCTCACCTGACTATAAGCCTCACCTGAAGCCTCACCAACTATAAGCCTCACCTGACTATAAGCCTCACCTGAACTATAAGCCTCACCAACTATAAGCCTCACTCGACTATTAGCCTCACCTGACTATAAGCCTCACCTGAAGCCTCACCAACTATATGCCTCACCCAACTATTAGCCTCACCCGACTATAATCCTTACCCGACTATAAGCCTCACCCGACTATAAGCCTCACCCTTCAAAACGCAGGAAAACCACAGCGGCTTATAGTCTGAAAAACACAGTACATATGAATAGCTTCCTGTGTCATGTATCTTTTCCCGTTCTTATTTATTTGTACATTTGTACATGTATATTTTTTGCTGGAAGAACGTTATAAAAGAATCTGTAAAAACCTGATGTTATTTTGTTTCGTGGCGACGTTAATTTCCCACGCGCTCCATTTGCAGGAGTCGTCCTTATTACAATCTCTGTGGGGCTTTTACACACGTGATTATTTTTGTGAGGTTCCCGTGTCTTTCCAATGTTTTGTGTCTCCTCGGGGTCTGAATCTAATATACAAATGAGTGGGAGGAAGCAAGGACTCGAGGAGACAGAGAGGAAAGGAAGGAAGGAAGGAAGGATGGACGGCTGAAGAAAAGGTAAAACACATTTATATATTTTTACAGCGTTCCAAACTGTGTGTTTTTCATTTCTCATTTGTCGGTCTTGTGCAGAGTTGTGGGTCGGGAGCAAACAAACTTCTGCTTCATCCGACCCCGTCTCAGTCCTGTGTTAGTGTAAATACATGTGGGTTTGTGTTCTGCAGGTTCTTACCTCGGTCTCGTACACTGTAAAACAATAATCCACCTGTTCCAGCCTCATCCAGACACAGATTAGATTAAGATGAAGATTTTGGGATTTTTGCTGGATTTGCTTTTTTATTTTTATTTTATCGAACAATTTATTAATTTGAGCAGAAGTTTGAGATTGACACTGAGCCAAGTTTAGATTTTTTACGCAGAAATATTCATGAAATCTCGCTCACTTTTGCATTTTTGCACATTTTCATGTTCCCAGATGTCTATTATATCTAATATGTTTGGGGATAAGCTTGAGAGCATATTGAATCGAGCCAGCAGGTGGCAGCAGCGCTCTCTGAATGGTTTGAAAACAGCTAGATGCACTTGTTGTGCCTCTTTTTTCTCAGCTTTTTGGTGATTTCAGTAAAACTTCCCTCTACTCAACTGGGGATTACAAACTAGAAACAAAATTATTTTTGCTGATGAAAGTAGTAGTAGTAATCTGGTTTCGGAATTCAGATAGTCATAGTACACAATATTCTGTGGGTCTTGAAGAATCTATAAAAATCATCAAACTGCTGGTAATATGGGAGTACCTGTTCTGAAATAGGCTGGCAGGGAATGAGTTAATAAACATTGAACCAGTCCGGCCCTCGGCTCGCAGCAAATTTGTTTTTTTGGCCCTCTGATGTATTTGACTTTGACATGCCTGGTCTAGAACTAAAGTGTCTCTGATCCTTTAAATGAACTTTGTTACATATTTTCAGATCCACTTTTGATTCAAACAAACTCATATTTTCATTTTCAACCAATTCAAAGTGAAACCAGAACATTCTTTTTATTTTCTTATAGTTACATTTTTAGAAAAGAATTGACAGAAATCACATCCGTTAACATTTTTTTTGACACTGATTATTTGTTTTTGTTTTTATGATTCCTTTTTAAATAAAGTTATTTCCTGATGTTGTTCATGTTAATCTGAGTGTCTCTATCCATGCCAAATGTGACATGTAAATTTCTCCTCTGTGAGATAAATAAAGCACATCTTATCTTATCTTATCTTATCTCTGCTCTCTCTCTGCTCTCTCTCTGCTCTCTCTCTGCTCTCTCCCTGGTCCCTCTCTAGTCTCTCTCTCTGGTCTCTCTCTGCTCTCTCTCTGCTCTCTCCCTGGTCCCTCTCTAGTCTCTCTCTCTGGTCTCTCTCTGGTCTCTCTCTGGTCTCTCTCTGGTCTCTCTCTGGTCTCTCTCTGGTCTCTCTCTGGTCTCTCTCTGGTCTCTCTCTGGTCCCTCCCGACAGAAAAAGCTGTTTGTATATTTTTACTTTCATTTCTCTCAGAGGCTTGGTTTGAATCCGTCCAAACTTGAATATTCTCACAAGTTTAATCTTGCCGCTCGAGTCTCAGAGTCTGTTTCTCTTCAGACGAATCCATCTAGTTCCAGAAGCTCCGCCGCAGGAGACAGGACGGTGAGTTTGGACGCACTTTTGAACGAACAATAAACAACAAAACCGGTTTGTTTTGAACCGACTCTAAACTGTTTCCAAAATGTCTGATTGTCTGATTGGGCGAGTTTGGCTAATTTTATAGACTTTGAATCTGGCAAATAAAGGTAATAATATTCTAAGTGTTGTTGGTCCTCTTTGTGTTGCTGGACTTGAATGAGAAAGATAAATATTGATGATTTTTGATCTCTCAAAAAAGCAAATTTTTGGATCCAAGCTACGTTTATAATTGTTCCTTGTTACGGACATTACGTAATATTTTTGCTGTTGCGCTTTAGTCTCTGCTTATTTGTTTATCTTCCGAAATTTTTTTAGTGAGCTGGCCACTTTAGTTTAACAGAATTATCCATGGCCCGACAACACACTTGGCTTTAAAATGAGGTAT